GGAGCCTGAACAGAACCAACAGTTCCAACAGTTCCAACAGTTCTGCTGTGAGAACTGTTTTTATGCGAGTGGATCAGTTTGACCTCCTGACCTCAGGCACCAGAACCAACCAACCCACCAACCCAAACACCCACTCTCCCAGAGCCAGGACCAGGGAGGACAGGAACGAGGTGGTCAAAGCTGCAGCCCCTGAGAGGTCCAGTGTATCAGTACATCTGACACACACACACACACACACACACACGGTTCTGCTGACTCGTCTCTTCTGGTCTGTTTGTCTCCATCAGTGGAAAAACTAAAGTGAGTCCGACAGAGGTGTCGCCATGACGACGGTTGACGACGGAAAAGACACTTCACCAAAATCACTTCTGAGAATTACTACTCTGAAAAAAACATAAAGGGGGCCGGGGGGGTGGGGGGGGTGTATGGAGGAGGAGGAGGAGGAGGAGGAGGATCAAAGAGGGTGAGAGGATCAAAGACGTTTACACAACAACAGAAATATATTTTTTACTGAGAAAATGTTTTATTTTAGTGGAAAAAAGTGAATTCATTGAAACTTTCTCTATAAAGACTCTCAGGGTCAGGGTCAGGGTCAGGGTCAGGGTCAGGGTCAGGGTTAGCCCCCCATCACTGTACCACCCCTCCCCCCTCCTTCTTGAGAAAACTTCATGTCCAGTTTCCTGACGGAACTTTTCAACCCTGTAATCCCCTCGGTTTCCACTGGGTGTCAGTGTAGTGCCGGGAACTGAATTCTGTCTGTGAGGGAAAAAGAAGCTTTATGAAAAAAACCTCACGTTATACTGTAGGTGGCGCTGTGCCAGCCTTGTGTTAAACCCCGGGATTGACGAGTTACAAACTAACAGATTAGAGGAGTGTCAGCTGTTTGACCTCTGACCCCACAGAGGATTACAGTCTGCTGTCAATCATGGACAGAGAGGAGCTGACGTGATTGGCTGCCAGGAAACAGGAAACACACAATTGTTAATTATGATGTTTCCTTAATCTGCTCCACAGCTAATCTGAGATTATTGTCCCAGGAAGTTCACCTCCTTCTCATTTCCTTTTCTCCTCCGTCCTGAATCATCTGTGTGTGTGTGTGTGTGTGTGTGTGTGTGTGTTTTCAACTTTAAATGAGTTTATAACTGAATCATAAACTTCAAGGCTGGACCACAGTGACCTCCTCACGCTGCACCTCTAACTCCTCCTCCTCTTCTCCTCCCACTCATCTCCTCCCCCCACCCCCCTGCCCCCCCCAAAGCATTTCTCCACATGAATCCTCGTCCTCCTCCACAGCTCGTCGACTAATGAGGTGTTACGTGATTTTCTGTCCCCCCTCAGGAGGAACAAACTGTTCAATAAGAGCGCCCCCCAGGGCCCAAAGAGAGCAGCAGGAGAACGAGCTAATGGAGAGAAACTAGAACACAAAGATGAGGGGATAGGGTTAGGGTTAGGGTTGGGGTTAGGGTTAGGTTTAGGATTAGGGTTAGGGCAGGACTGGGGGGAAGGAATATAAAGTAAGAGAAAGAGAAAAATATTTTTGTCATTTATGTTTTTCGTTTTGTCTGTCGTCCAATCAGGACGTCCATCATCGTTCATCGACGACTGAGAGAACGACGAGGAAACAGAAGAAAGTTTCAGTGGTTTTTATTTTTTTTAATAATCAAATCGTTAAAATGCACGACAGAAGAGAAGACGTGTCCACATCACATCGGAGGTTTCATTACAGAGGAACGGTTTCCACGGTAACCAACAGTCAACAGTCAAGGACTCATCGTACAAACGTGACTTTGTGATGTTTGTATAAAAAAGTTCTGCCGTCGGTCATCAGCCCTGGACATCCGGGTCGGATGTCGCAGCTCCTGATGAACGTCCGCTGCTTCAGGGTGTGGTTCAAAGATGGCCGCCGCCGCACAAGCTAAGTGTTCATGGCTAACAAACAGTAGCATTCTGATACAGTGTGGGCTACAATCTACAACAAACCGGATCTGAAGTTTGGCCTCGTGGCAAAACCGATGTGGCCCACGAATTATCATGCCTAATATTTTTCGTGGCCTACAACTTGTGGCTCTCAAACAGTTGAATGCTGGGTCACAAACGTGGGTCACAACAGACACCCTAATGGGCGGGAGGAATGTAGGCAACAGCCCACATCTGATACAGTATGTGAGCTGTGGCCCAAACGACACAAGCTAAATCATTTGGCCCACATTTAAATGTGGGCGAGGCCTAAACCAAAACCCTGGATTGGACCAGCGTCCACTTCTCCAGATCGTTAGTGACTTTATTTCATGGAAACAGAACCGAACTCAGTGACTTTGTAGAACAGCAGCGTTTCTGTCACGATGCGTTCAGGTGCGGTCTGTTCTTCTTCTGTCTCGTCCACAGTCTCGGCCTTTTTGTCCAAAGTTTGATATTTGTCCACACAGACAGACAGACAGACTGACAGACAGACATTTAGAGGGGAGTGCTCCGTCCAATCAGGAGTGTCGGGCAGGGTCACATGCCCGTGGACCCCAGCCCCAGGCCGGCCGTCTTGCTCATGCAGGGTAAACCCTGGGCTCCAGATTTAGGGAAGTCATGTGACATCACACGTCCGTTTTCTCCTCCCAGTCCCGACGCCCCTCCTCCTCCACACCCCCCC